AATGAGTATATATTGGTCAATACTTGTTTCTTTATAGATCGTGTCTGTCTATCAGATTCAAGCTTCAACTGTACTCTGTACTCTACCTTGCAGCATTGCTGTCAAGCAGTACTACTACTAGGTGATGGAAAAGGAACAAGACAGGGAGAGCTCTCTACCCAAATATGAAAGGTATACCGGTAACCTATTTCAAATTCAAAGAGTAATTTTGATGTATTCAGCAAAGACTCATTTATTGTATCATTAACATTTCATCTGCTTTGTACAAACATGTACCAGTTGGCAGTTGTTTATGTAAGAGCTAGAAACCAAAATTCTTTGTAATTTTAAAATCACCCAATATTTTTCAAATAAAATCTTCCCATAGAGTTCTATTCATGATGTTTGATTTTTTTTAATGAACTTTTGAAAATGTCAATTTCTGATTCATAAGGAAAGAATTGTCAGTGAAATTAGCTTTGGTGACTTAATAGTGGTACATGTAAACGATGAGGGTAATCAGAACTAAATTTCATTTTGAAATTTCATCTATTTCTTTGCAGAGATGACAAAGAACATGGGCTAATCACAGGGAAGCCTCCAAACCAAGATCATGGGCAGCCCAAGAACAAGCGACCCCCTCCAGATCCTGCCAAATTCGAGCGCAACTATGATCCTCCACCTTTAGACCACAACAACAATGCTGATGTCGAGGAGAGAGACGTAGGAGTGGAGCAGTTCTCAATGCCCAAGAGCCTGATCTCCTCTCAGCTGGATGAAAAGTTATCTCAGCCTACCAGCCTCTCGTCAAAGGATGGTCGGGTACCACTTCCACCTCTCCCAGATGTTGAGGGGGACATCATGGAAGCAGTGGAAATGCCAAACACACACCTGTCAGAAGGGAACCAGTTCTCGATGCCCAAGAGCCTCTCCTCCCAGCCGGATAAGATTCTACCTCGTCCTTTTGAAGGCAATAGATCAAGTAAAAGAGTCAGCAGGAGGCCTCTGAACCGCAACAAGTTGACAAGAGCAAAGGGAATGCAGTATGGAAGAGAGCTACAGAAGCTGAAACGGGAGGTCGCCTCTTTGAAAGCAAAGAGGGAGAGGAATACATCTGCTGGCCTCGATGGTGGCAATGCTGATAAAAGAGGAACAACCCCCTGGCAGATCTTCATACCGGTATATGACGATCTGAAAATGATGCTCAGAGATTTCACCAGGGTGTATTTGCCCCAGATGACATGTTGGAGTATCACGATAGCAGTAGGGTACATCTGTGGTAGGAGTGACTTCTAACACAACAAACCCGAGCTGCAATGCAGTAGACCCAAAGTGTGAAATCCTATTTGGGTCTATTAAAGAGGGTTTATTAAAGAGGAACTAGGATTTCGGGGTTAATGTTGTCGACCTTCACGTGGTGACCCTGTTAACTGACTACTGTCAAACTAACGACAACCGATAACTATCAAGAACAGAGACTGCTAAACTAATCAGAACCTGGCTTCTAATACAAATCATTGGCCTAGCCTGATTTATGCTGCTTCATACAGAAAATATTCTCTGTGTGAAGGCAAACTTTGTTCAAGATTAAATAAGAATTTTAAAATTCAATGCAGTTGTTCACTTTCCATGTCTCTAAGCATATGTGTCTAGGATAAGAGAAATTATGAAGAGGTGACTCGAGATTTAAAAGGAGGGGAGTAAAAAGAGAGAGGGAAAGTGACAGACAGACAGACAGGGAGAGACTGAGACAGGGAGAGCAATAGAGAGAGAATCAGATAAAGATCGAGAGACAGAGACAGGGAGAAAATGAAATGAAAAGAGAGAGATGTGAGTGGAAGAGAGAAAAAGCGGTGGGAGGGTATGACTCAGATGAAAAAAACAAAGATAGATAGAAAATTGGAGAGAGCGAGGGGAGGGGGGGGGGGGGGGAAGGGAGGGAGGTAAAGTAAAAAAAAGAAAAAATTGGAGATCGCTTTGTTTAACAATGTAAAATCTGAGATGCATGGCCATACATGTTATCAGTGTCTGTGATATGGTGTTATATTGCATGAAGCCCTAAAATTGCACTTCAAAATGATCATGAAGTGCCTCAAAAAATTCAAAATCTTTGGGTGACCGGTTTTACCATACTCATTTTCCCAAATAGACTGTAGTGTTATAAAAGATGTTAGGAAAACCAATTTTTACATTTTGATTTCCAATCATAAATATCTTGGTAATCAGACAGGCAATCAGTCATGGGGTTCCTGACTGACCTAAAGGTTTATAATTATCATTGCAGCATGAGCTAAATCCAGGATTTTGTTTGAGAATCTGAGACAAAGTTACCCAATCCCTTTAAAAATGAAAATAATGACATTTTCCTGATAAACCCATGTCAGTATATTTCCCTTGCAAACAGCTCTCTATTACTCTTGCATTGAAAACAAAATCAGGAATTGTTCTTTTCTTCTAAACCAACTATAAATTAGATAATTCTCAGCAAAATACAGAAAAAGAACTGCTTGCTCGAATGAGAAGTCACAAAGTTATCAATTTGTATGTGATCGATGACCACAGCTTCATATATTTCACACTTTTCTTGCCCTTGATTAGGCTTTCCTCCAAATTTCTTTGATCAGCATCTAATTTTTTCCCTGCTTTTTATACAATTTGATGATATAAGAATAAATTCCACTGTGCAGTCACATTATGTACCATGCAAATGAAGTTATAGGTGTACACTGCAGTACTGCTGTACTGAAAAACAACAAACAAATCAATGTACAATATACACTTTTATATACTATTATCAATTAATGACATGACTAGGTATATCACTCATACAAATTAAATAATGCATGGAAGAGAATTCAATCGCACATAAATTACAACGACAGTAGACAGGATTATACTTATCAATAATAACAATTATCAACAAAAGCTTTTCTTACTATCTGGTGATTAAAATATTTATTGAAGGAAAAAAAAAAGCCTCCATACCGATTTGAATCGTTCGTCATTCACAATCATGTATAGGGGTTGTTTGGATGACTAAAAAATTTAAACAAAATAAAAGAAGCTAGCTGAGATTCATAATTAATGAAAAGTCCCACCATAACTATATCAGTACATGGCAAGAAAGGGAGAGAGAGAGAGAGAGGGGAGGGAGAGAGGGGTGTAAACAAGATGCAATTCTTTCCCTTCCTTATTCCCTCTCTCTCTTTCTCTCTCTCTCTCTCTCTCTTTCTCCTCCCCCTCTCCCCACAGGCCCCACTTTCCTGAAGTTATATTTTGCTTGAAATAAATAAGAGCGCTATGGAAAACTGAAACTAAAAAATGACAAAGCTATCAATGACAATGCAGGTTTCGTTTTCACCATAAGGTACACAATAAAATATTCATACAATATTCTCCCAAACACAGGCCTCAAATTACTGTCCAACGAACTGCAATTTCCTATAGCACGTTCGCCATAGTCTAACAACCAAAACAGTAATGTATTTTCCATTGACAGGCCAACTTAAAACATAAATGGCTGTACGTGGAATATTATTCTGATAAAAAGAGCCGTCATGGAACACAATTAAACGTAATTGAGGCCGTAGTAAACTAAAAAGATACGGATTCTGTCTATATAACATGGCGATTTTGTTTACAAACACCGGGGGCACAGTGCCATTATCCGAATACCGTAGTGATACCAGTCGTGCCATGACAAAAAATCAAAGGCCTTTTAGCGGCATTAAACCAAAACAGTACACCAAGTCTGAAGTTGAAGACTCTCAGGCCAAATAGGAATTATTCATGATTTAGTTCCACGAAAAATGTTATAATTACTGTTTGTTGGTAAGCAGATACTATCTGCCTTAACAACAATTTGTATAATATGAATCAATCTCTGGTTGGTCATTCACGGCGGCTTTCAAGCCCACAAGTACATAGTAACAATCTCCCCATTGGACAATTATTAGACTTGGGGCATATTATATGCAAATTATTCCCAAGTATACTAATTCTAAGAATAATAATGATTTGCCAAGCACTAATCCTACTAGCATCTGAAAGAAAGAAGAAAGTTTCACCGTCAAAAAGTTGTTCATACCGTCTGGATCGAAAAGTTACTGAAGTTGTGGAAATCAGGAGGTCAAAAAACAATATTGGTGAGTTAAAATATCGTTTTATACATGAATAATTATCACTTTAAAGTTTGTAACATATTAATTTAACCCCAAAGGGGATAAAAGTTTCAACATTGCAAGAGTTGCCTCTTTGTGTATCCTGCAGTCAGTGCACTCTGTGTGTGCACAGAGTTTAGTCGAGCATAAGTTAAGATTAAGTTTATTTATTACATGTTATATAATATATGTCAAGTCTCATTTATACTAACAAGATAAGTCGTATTTACGGCAAAAGACAATGAGATTAATATCAATGCTTAATTAGTTATATTAATCACAGTGTTGAAGTATTACACACGTACGTTATACTCTACGTTATCGCTCTTGAATCTGCATATTCGTGTATACGACGTGTTTTACGATTAGTTGATTTCTTGAGCATCTTTACGATCTTATCTGCGATACAGTTTATGGATGCGTGAATAAACGAAATCTTTGAACATTTATACGCAAGTGTGATTGGACAGTTATTACGGAGTGCGTTCCGATGTTTTCCTAATAACCCTCAGCTGTAGCTTAACATGTGCAAAAAGCGACATGCCTAAACTTATTTTCTGTAATTGTCATGTAGATCGACTCGTATTATCAATGTGGCTTTTATATACATTCCTTTTTGTGTTTTCTTAATTCCATCCATAAAGACGAAAAAGAGAAAAAGAGGAAATCCATGGGTCATCTCGGAATGCCGATGGGGATGTTTATGTTCACTTTTCTTCGATCAGAATAAATTATAAAATTGATCAATTCTTCATATATCATGTCTGTGCCTATCAAAATCAGGCTTCAACTGTAGTCTGTACTCTTAGTAGGAGACCAGCCTGCAGGTCCCGTGACCAAACTCGGGGAACAAAGGTTTGAAAGTGTGTTTGTGTTCCCTGATGAATACCGAACAATTTTGACTTGGGCTGCCCCCTTGAAAATGTCAGGCATTTCCGGGAAGGGTCAATTAAGGTCAAACAGGGGTCAAAATTCAAAAATATTCCGATCGTGTCGATATGCATATCAAATTACTCGTCTCAACATGGTGATTCCAAAAATGTACAGTTTGTTAGACCTCCGACCTTAAATGAGGGCGCTGTGGTGAAAAACGTCGAAAGGTCAACGAACTTTTGACTGGTGGTCAAATTCACCAACACAGTTAACATTGTCCGATTCGAATGATTTTAGCGTCTAATAATATGTTTTCTGACATGGCAAATTCAACTATACAACTTTCAAAAGTAAAATTGCTTACCTTGACCATGAAAATTCTAAATGGCTGTTACAAGATTAACATAAATTAGCCCAAAACAACAAATTATTAAATGTTTGTCACCGAAACGTCACAAACAATTGAAACAATCCATTTACAAAAATTAAAAAAAATTTGATTATGTGTATCCTTTTTTCTTTAGAACACTTGTCTGATATAATATTGTACAGTATATCATATAACGTGTATACGGTAGGTAAATGATGATGATGGGCTGTGAATATCTGCAGCAATGTAGCTTCAACAACGTGTTCCCTTATTTGGGTAAAAGTTTGTGGATGCAATGAAACTGACGTTATCCGCTTGGTAAGTACCTCATTGTAAATTTCTTCCTTTTTTCATGTTATTGGACCAAAGATAACAAAAAGTTAATATTTACAAAACAATTGATGGCTTAAATAAGGTTTCAAGCCAGAGACCATATGGCAATATTATTACATTCCTCAAGGTAGTAATATTAATTGAGTATACAGGACACATACTACTCTGAATCATTGCGACCTTGTTTCATGCTTGATGAAAATCGGTTGATTTACTTGGTCTTCTCTGACCTTTGCTTGATGGAATTGTAACAGGCGAATGGACTTGATTTACTTTTCTTTACATTTCCTCATGGAATTAGCAGAGTCTGTATAAGAATTACATGTCATCTTTCACCAATTCTTGGCATAAACATGTATTAGTCATTTTTTTAAAGTCTATTTACCTGAATTCCTGTGTTTCAGTTAAGTGTGCCATACATGATACAGAGATACCAAGTTAAGAGACCAGCTAGGCGTGAGACTCGGTAGGTCTGGGTTGGTATCGCGAGCATCCATATTGATCTACTGAAGATCTTAAGATCGTTTCAAGCAATGCGCGCTTATAGCTAGCTTATGTGCATGCGATATACAATACCATGCTACCGACTCGCGCGGCCGGCGTCCACACTATAGATGATAGAGCGCCGCACGTGTATCATATTCGCTTTTCAGCTAGGCGGCGGCCGGTAGCTTGCCAATGGGCAATGGTTACTCCCCCCCCCCCTTTTTTTTTCCCTCCCGGTCTGGCCCTGAGGCGTGAGAAATTGGTTGCGGCGCGTATGAGCGTGACTCTCGTGCCTAATGCGTGAGACCTCGTAGGTCTCATGATACAACTTCCATCTTGCAAATTGATGCTATCTTAAATATATCTTGGATTTTAATGGTAAGTAATTCACACTTCTTATACTTATGGTAATAACATGCAGTGGAATTACAGGAGAACTGGTAATACAAAATCTTGTTGAGAGAATGCACATTTCTAATTCTTACCACCATAAGCTTGCTGACTTGGACCAAGTTTTATCCACCAGAGAATTGCTAAAATCAGGTCCTGAGATGGTAGTAATTTTTTCTGTATCATGACGTCCACATACTAGTAATTTTTTTACAAACATTTCTTCTGTGCATTGATGTAAAGTGAATATATGATTAAGATCCCTATAGGATCAAGACTAACATCTGCTTTGTATTTTCATATTTTATCTAACCAGCATTAAGATCTGGGAACAATGTCAGCACCAAAGTCGACACCAGTAGTGAAGCCTCAATCAAACAGAAAAAGGAAACGAGAGGAAAAAGCTGGACTATGTGTTTTGTGTAATGAACAATGCCATGAAGATAAAAGCAACATTTCTCCTGAAGCATGGGAACGCATGAAGGGCAAAGCACAAGATTGGAAAGGGTTGCATAAATTTGGAACTGTTTATGATTCAGTCAATTGGGATGCAGGACCGAATGGTGTCTATTTTCATAAGGCATGCAGGACTGCATTGGCAGCTCAACGTGGACTTCAACAAGCAATAAGAAAAAGAGACCAAGAACAGAAACAAACATTGGACACACAAGAAACGCATGCAAAAGACCAGCAGCAAGATGGACGATCTTCACGTAGCACTGGTCTCCTTCATGAAAAGAATCTGTGCATTTGGTGTATGAAACCAGAGGACTTGAAAAATTCCAAAACATTATGTATTATCCAACAGTGGAATGCGTGGAACACCTTCAAGTCACATACAATACACTTGAAAGATGACCAGATGAGAGAAAGAATTTTAACTGTCATAGATTCTACCACTGATCCCTTTGCGTCAGAAATACGCTATCATCGTTCCTGCTGGATGAAGTATGTCAAGCGTCACTACAGACATTCTGATTCATCTGGTGACCGAATGCACTTACAGAACGTGCGACTTACAGAGGTTAGACAGATGTTTTTATGCATGTTCGTACAGTTGTGCTTGAGATGAATGAGCCAAGAACATTACAGGGTCTTCTGGTTGATTATAACCAAATGAGTGCAAACTTTGGTTTTGAAACTGTGATGAAAACCAGCACTATAAAACAAATGCTTCAGAATGAATTCAAAGACAACATTGGATTCCACGATCGTTTCCACAAGAACCAGAGCACAATTGTCTATGATGCATCTGCTGGTGGAAGTTTCATTGAAGCAGCCATTTATTCTTGGGGAATAAGTGATGAACAGTTACTAAACAATGTCGCAAGGCGTCTGAAAAAGAAGTTTACAGAAGAAGTGGGTTTATCTTGGCCTCTCCGTGTTGATGAGCTTGAAGATATTGAAGAACCCCATGAACTTTTGCGCCAACTTCTGACATGGCTCAAGGATCCTGATTCCAATGACTTTACTGAAGCATGCCATGATCCACAGACTGCTGCTTTGGCATCCCTCTTGTTTTCGTTCATCACCGGCAAACGCACGTCCTTCCAAACAAAGTTATCAGTGACTCTTCATGGATTAACTCGGAGTCGTGAAATCATTGACATCTTGAAACAATTTGCTCTTGGAATAAGTTACAAAGATGTTCTTGCTCTATATGAAGCTTGGGCCATGGATGATATCAAAGCAAATGTTGCTTGTCCTGACGAGTTAGCAGATGGTTTTCCAGGAACAGGTATCCTAGATAACGATGATTTCAAAGATGATACATTGACAGGGGCCGATACATCTCATCGGACCAATGTTATGTTTGTACAACCTAATGATGTTACATCATTAGACCCGGAGGAGGGTCGTCCCACACTTCAATTGACCAAGTCTGAAGATTTGACAGATTTAAGTACTTTACAACACAAGATTCATCCTTACAAAACAGTCAAACGCGGCCAGCCAGCAGTTCGTCAGGAAATTGATATCTCACTTCAAACAAGTGATGAGCAAAGAAAGCGAGGTGTTATGCATGTGTTGGCCCGTCTGGATATTGCAGGGAAGAACATACCAGCTGATGAACAGAAAGTTGGAAGTTTCACTGGGTTCCAGGCTAATATCCATGAGTATGTGGTGAAAAGTACAGCATACTATTTTCTAACATTTCCAAAGCCACCTCAGAAGTCAGTGGTTCACGAGGTTATGTGTCGCATGGTCAACGCAGCCGAGTGCAAGTCAATGCCATTTATTCAGCTAGTAGGCGACCAACCAGTCTATGCCCTTATTGTTCAGCTGAAAAATGAGAATCCTGAGAAATTTAAACTTATCCTTCCATTCTTGGGTCCATTCCACGCTCACATTTCCTTCATATCGGCGATAAACAAGCGGTTCCATGGCTCAGGTTTATCCGAAATTCTTGTGGCAGCTGATATAATTTCAGAAGGATCAGTTGACCAAGCACTTCGTGGTAAACACTACAGCAGAGGTATAAGGTGCCTTTCACTTATGTATGAGGTGCTCATTCGCAGGATTATTTTCCGCGGGGTCAGCGAGGGACTGAAGCTATCATCGGAGCTCGAATCAAAGTTGAAAGTTCTTAGAAGTCCACCCAATAGCTCAAAAGAACAACTACAGGCCATCTCAGATGATCTCATGATGGATGCAGAGTTCAAGTCCTTTGTAGAAAGAGCATTTGAGAGTGTTGAGAAATCAGACAGCCCCATGGCAAGGTTCTGGTTGAGCTTCATGGAAATGGTTGAAATACTGATCATGAACATATACGCCCTGAGGACACAGGATTGGGATTCATTCAAATCATCCCTCCGAATGATGATGCCATGGCTGCGGATATATGACAATGATAAATACAGCAGATGGCTTGTAGAATTCTGGCTTGAGATCAGCAGTCTTCCCGAAGAAAAAGAGAGGTATATGCGAGATGGCCTATTCGCACAATCGATGACCGGGAAACCATACTCATGCTTACCCCTGGATCTCTGGATAGAAATGACCATGAATAAAGGGTCGAAGATGAAGGCAGGTTGGAAGCGCATCTTAAAAAATGAAAAGATGTTGTTGACTCACACAAGAACCGTCAATTCTGTGAATAGAGTTAGAAGTTCACTACATGCATTGGCAAACCTCACCAAATCATCTGAAGGTCACAGAGAGAACTCCACAACGAGGTTGTTGCTGGATGAGCGTGGTGTACAAGATCTAGACAATTGCATCACAGAATTTGATTGTGACCCATTCGACCTTACACAGCCTATCTTGAGGTCGCTCCAGTCTGGAATGGTCGCATCAGATGCTCTTGTGAAAGACTTTGACTCAGCACATGAGGATGGGGAGACTCTAGTGCAATCATTCTTCAAAGACCGCATGTTCTCTGGTGATAAACAGTTTGATGCCACCATACACAGAAACAGCAGACACAGCTTCAGCAAACCACCAGTTATCAAAGACGCATCAAAGCAGAAGGTCACAAAAACAGATGCTATGGAAAACAAAGCCATGGCCGAGATCATCACTTTGGCACAAGAGTTAGATGATGGTCTAGTGCTTTCTGAAGTCATGAAATACCGCGTGACAGAAGAGTGTCTCCCAATCTTCAATGTAAATGGAACAATGCGCAAAGGGCAAAAATCTAAACTGGCACAGAAGTTCAACTTTATTGATTTGGAGTTCCGGGATAGATACATTGCCCTAGTAGATATGGGATTCATTTGGAGGCTATCAACCCCATCTGTTGAGGATAGAGAGAAGCGAGACGAAAGTGCTTACACGTGGGGCGATTATGCTGCTAAAATGTTTAACCTTGTTCTCCAACGCCATCCTACGGCGTCCCAGATCATATTTGTAAATGACCCATATGATCTACAACACAGCATCAAAGATAGTGAACATGAAAGGCGAACAGGTGAATTGCCTTTTGTTGGAGGGACCAGGAATATTTTCATCAAGAGAAATGATGAACTGCCATCCCCTAGGCACTTCAACAACATGTTCAAGAACCCAGGAAACAAAATTCGTCTCCAGCAATTTTTGAAGACTGAGTTCAAAACCCTGTTACTCCAACATCCAGATACCAGATTTATTTACTCTGTGAGGGAACGCTGTAGTGATTTGTCCACTGATGAGGAGGTAGTTGAGTTGACATGTCAGCATATGGAAGCAGACACCATTCTTTTGTACATATATTCCCAACTAAGAAAGTCTGGAGTAAAAGATGCCGTTGTCATTGATGCAGAAGACACAGATGTGTTGGTCTTAGTTTCGTATGTGGCACATCAAATTGAAGGTATGCTAGGACTAAAAAGGAAGAAAAGCATAATTGATTGTGCAACACTCCTTGATAAGGATATCAGTGATGTCATTATCCCCTTTCACATCCACACTGGTGCAGATGCTATTTCCAGTTTCTATGGCCGTGGAAAACCATCAGTCTTTGACAGCGCAATGAAGTCAAAAGAGGCACGAGAGCTACTTAGAGGGCTTGGGAAATGTCTCCCAGTGACATCACAAACTCTTAAACAGATGGAGCAGTATACCATCAAATACATATACAAGGACAAATCAAGCAAGACACTTGCAGAAGCTCGGGCCAACAAGTGGGAGGGGATGAAGAAGAAATCGACTCTCAGGATTCCTCCCGATACAGATTCACATAATTTGAAGGTAACACGGGCCAACTATCAGGCATTCATCATGTTAAACTTTATGAATCCAGATGCTCCATCATCTCCCCTTCAGCATGGTTGGAGCTTGAGAGAGGGCAAATGTTTGCCAATACGGTATTCCCAGCCGGCACTACCTAAACGTCTAAGAGATATGACAAACCGCACTGTAGACTACACTGATTCAGATACTAGTGATTGCAACAGTGTTTCTGACTCTGATTCTGATGTATCTGACATTGAGTAGGATGATGAACTGTGCAACAAAGCCAGGTAAGCACAATGGGACAGTGTGTTTAAAAATACTTTTGTTGTTGGCCAAGACTTTTGGTATCCCTTTTGGCAGCCATTTTGAATTTTCATGGTCAAGGTAAGCAATTTTACTTTTGAAAGTTGTATAGTTGAATTTGCCATGTCAGAAAACATATTATTAGACGCTAAAATCATTCGAATCGGACAATGTTAACTGTGTTGGTGAATTTGACCACCAGTCAAAAGTTCGTTGACCTTTCGACGTTTTTCACCACAGCGCCCTCATTTAAGGTCGGAGGTCTAACAAACTGTACATTTTTGGAATCACCATGTTGAGACGAGTAATTTGATATGCATATCGACACGATCGGAATATTTTTGAATTTTGACCCCTGTTTGACCTTAATTGACCCCTCCCGGAAATGCCTGACATTTTCAAGGGGGCAGCCCAAGTCAAAATTGTTCGGTATTCATCAGGGAACACAAAAACACTTTCAAACCTTTGTTCCCCGAGTTTGGTCACGGGACCTACAGGCTGGTCTCCTACTATCTACCTTGCAGCATTGCTGTCAAGCGGTACTATAGATGAAGGAAAAGGAACAGGGCCGGAAGAGCTCTCTTCCCAGGTATGAAAGGTATAAACCGTTTCAAAGAGCATTTTAATGTATTCAGCTAAGCCTCAATGTAGATGTAAACTCGCGGACTGCTATTCGTAAGGACCGCTATTCATAACGTGGAAATTCCTATACGTGAATGACCGCTGTTCATAAAACGGAAAGGGGGTCACTATTCATAAAGGCATAAAGACCGTTATTCATAACCTCTTTTTGTATTATGAATAGCGACCCTCATTTCGTATTATTATTACGAAATGAGGGTCGCTATTCATAATAAAGAGAAGAAGGTATACAGCGGCCCTCTTCTCGTATTATGAATAGGGACCCCTACTGAATAATGGCCCGATTTTGTATTATGAATAGCGTACCTCTTCTCATTATCATGAATAGTGATCCTCTTCTTCGATTATGAATAGCGGGCCTTAATGAATAATGACCCTTTTCTCAAATTATGAATAGCGATCCTTATGAATAGCGGTCCTTACAAATAGCGAGCGGACCAAATGTAGATAACCGCATTTCATTTAATTGTATCATTGACATTTCAGTTGCTTTGTACAAAAAATTACGAGTTGGCAGTTGTTTAAGAAGAGCTAGAAACCAAATGTCTTTGTTACTTTAAAACGTCACCTAATATTTGTTCAAATAAAATCTTCTTATACAGTCGTATTCATGATATTGAACTTGTGTTGTTGGTGAATTTTTGCAAATTTCAATTCCTGACTATGTGACAAGGAAAGAATTGTCAATGAAATTAAACTTGGTGACTTTATAGTTGTACATGACATGATACCTGCAATCAGAGCTGTATTTCATTTTCAAATTTCATCTATCTTTGCAGAGATTATGGAGAGCACGGTCCAATCATGATCATTGAGCAGCCAAGAACAAGCGACCCCCTCCAGATCCTGCAAACTTCGGGCTTAATGGTGATCCTCCACCATTAGACCACACACGAAATGCTGATGTCAAGGTGAGAGGCTGTACTACTTGTCCAGTAGAAGACGTAGGAGTGGGAGACCAATCACAATCTTCAAAGATGGAAGGCATCGCTGGAATGCCTCATGGCCTTCACCCATCTCTTTGGATTGACAACCTGTCTCTATGGGATGATGAGATGGAAGAGGACGAGATGTTATCTCAGCCTACCAGCCTCTCGTCGAAGGATGGTTGGGCACCTCTTCCACCTCTTCCACCCAAGATGTTGAGGGGGGCATCATGCAAGCAGTGGGAATGCCAAACACACACTTGTCAAGAGGGGAGCAGTTCTCAAGGCCCAAGAGCCTCTCCTCCCAGCTGGATGAGAAGTTTTCTCAGCCTACCAGCCTCTCGTCGGAGGATGGTTGGGCACCCCTTCCACTTCAAGATGTTGAGGGGGACATCATGCAAACATTGGAAATACCAACCACAGACCTGTCAAGAGGGGAGCAGTTCTCAAGGCCCAAGAGCCTCTCCTCCCAGCTGGATGAGGAGTTTTCACAGCCTACCAGCCTCTCGTCGGAGGATGGTTGGGCACCCCGTCCACCTCTTAAAGATGTTGAGGGGGACATCATGCAAGCAGTGGAAATACCAACCATACATCTGCCAGGAGGGGAGCAGCTCGCAATGCCCAAGAGCCTCTCCTCCAAGCTGAATAAGATTCTACATAAATGTACTAAATTTTGGAATTCTCTTGAATCTCATTTAATAAACGTACACTCTGCAATGCATTAGACCCCAAAACTAGACAATGTGAAATCCAAATTTGGGTCAAAGAAGAACCAGGATTTAATTCACTTACCGCCGTTTAAATCAAAACTAAACTATGGAATGCTCTTGAATCTCATTTTATAAACGTACACTTCCAAAATACCTTTCAATCTTAGTTCACATAACCTTTGTAAATAATTTATGTACTAGCTTTACGCTTCCATTTTCCCATCGTTGACAATGTATATAAATATTTTGTTGTGTCTACGTTACTTTATTTACTTGTTTACCGTTTGTAATGTGCTGTATATATATTACATCTTTGCATTTGTATGAAATGAATTGATGAATTGATGAATTGAAACTTGTCTCACTGGGGATGATGTGGTGATCCCTGTCAACCGACGGCTTCCAGGCTAACGGACAACCATCAAGAACAAGGACAGCTATAGACTCATCAGAACTAAATAATACAACTCAGTAGCATAGCCTGATTTATGCTGCTTCTTACAAGAATCTTTCTTGTGTGAAGGCTCACTTTATTCAATAATTAAAGATAAGAATTTAAAAATTCAATTCAGTTGTTTATTTTCCATGTCTGTAAAGATATGTATGTTGATAAGAGAAATTGTGAAGAAGTGGCTTGTGATTTAAAGGGAGGGGAGTAAAGAGAGAGAGAGAGAGAGAGAGAGAGAGAGAGCGCGAAAGGGGGACAGTGGAGAGGAGAGAGAGAGAGAGAGAGAGGCAGAGACAGACGAAGAGAGAGTGACCACAATAAATATGTAAATAAATAGAGAATGGGGAGAAAGAGATGGACAAGTTTGAGAGTGTGGAAGGAGAGGGTTATAGAGACGGAAAAATACAGGAACGAGAAGAGGGGACAAAATTGGATTTATCGAAAATTGCATGTATCTTCAGCTAATGCTTTATAGCATGTATCCTTACAATATCAAATCTCAGCTGCAAGCAAATTTATCAAGGTGTTTGACTTTAAAATATCCACTTGACACTATCTGAATGTAGTTAATTCTTGGAACGATCTGTCTGCTGACATTGTTTAGGCATCACCAGTCATTTTTTAGTCCATACTCAACCAATGGAATTGGAAACTGAAGTGTAGGCTAATAAGTTCGAACCTAAATGTTTGAAGAAAAATTTGATCAGTGTGAGGATTGATTTGATGAGCTTGATATTAACAGGAACAGACCTGTTGAATGTCCTTCTACAAATCTCTAGACTTACTGGCCGTTATCATTGGTAATTTAAAGCAAGTCTTCCTTTTCCCTCTCTTACTCCCCCCCCCCCCTCCCTCCCCCCGGGCCCCCTCTCTTCCTAGTGTAAAGAGCTGAAGTTATATTTTGTTTGAAAAAAATGAGAGCGCTTCTGGAAAAACGGAAAACTACTACATGAGAAAGCTTTAAAATATTGGTTTCATTTTCACCAGTAAGGTACACAATAAAGTATTCTTACGATATTCTCCCAAACACTGGCCTCAAATTATTATTCACGTTGACGTTGTGACATAGTCTAACAACCAAGACAGTATTATGTCTTTTCCATTCAAGCCAATGATTAAAGGTGTAATATTAATCTAATAAAAAGAGTCGTCATGAAACACAATAAAACGGAACTGCCTCAGTTAGAGGTAGGCTAGAAAGATACTTACTGATTCTGTCTAAATGCCATGGCGATTTGGAGCCACAAAGGCCCTACATTATGACCTAGTTTGTCTCTAAAACAGACTGCATGGCCCGCATGGGTATTTTGGGTCGTCCTAATTGGGGTTATAAAATTTAGGGTCATTATCATTTCTTTTTACATGTACTTCAAGATACCTAGCCACAACTGCCTGATCTCTGAGAAATGCTCCAATCTGTAAAGATTTAGATATTTACTTTACTTTGTTCATTTAAAATATATAAAAATGAGTCTCGAATTGCAGACTAATTGTCTAGACGCAAGGGGAATCCCCGTTTGTCATTGAATTTGTGCGAAGCCACAATGCACAACCCAGCTTCACGTCATCGTTCGTTCAATTCAAGCCTATACTGCGAACAAATCTGATAAAGAACAGGTAAAAGACATATATTTTGCAGCTTATCATTCTTAGATACTACAACACGTTATATAATAAGCGACAATCCAATTCTAAAGAACTCTGATCTTGTTCAATTTGATTTATTCCTAAAAGCTGGTTGGGTGCAAACACCCTGGCAGCCATTTTTGTGCGTCATGCCATGCCATGGTGACCATGGTGTTTACAAACACCGGGGCGTGGCGAATACTGTGGTATAAGCCGGTATACCAGTTATGCAAAGTGCTATGAAAACTTGAAAGGTCTAAACTTATTATCTGTAATTGTCATGTAGACTCGTATTATAAATGTTGCTTTTATATATTCCACTTTGTGTTGGCTTTATTCCGTCCATAAAGAGGGGGAAAAAGAACAAGAAAAAGATAAAAACATGAAAGCTATGCATTATGCTGTCATCTTGTAGTTCTGATGCATGATGGGAAGTTTATGTTCAGTTTTCGTCGACCGACCAGATCGAATAAGTATAATATATTGGTCAATACTTGTTTCTTTATAGATCGTGTCTGTCTAGCAGATTCAAGCTTCAACTGTACTCTGTAGTCTGTACTCTACCTTGCAGTATATCGCTGTCATGCAGTACTAGATGATGGAAAAGGAACATGACAGGGAGAGCTCTCTACTCAAGTATGAAAGGTATATAAACCTGTTTCAAAGAGTAATTTTTAATGTATTCAGCTAAGACGCATTTATTGTATCATTAACATTTCAGCAAAAAGTACCATTTGGCAGTTAGTAATGAAAGAGCTAGATACCAAATGTTTTTTTATTTTAAAATCACCTAACATTTTAAAAATAAATTCTTCAGTACAGTCATATTTATGATATTGAATTTTTGTTGTTGATGATTTTTTGCAAATTTCAATTTTTTACTGTGAAAAGAAAGGAATTGTAAGAGAAATTTGCTTAGGTGACTTTATAATTGTACAGAATGTTTTATTTTAAGCCATGTTCTATCTCAACCTAATAAGTATCAGCTAAGTTATTTTAGGGACGTTGTGCTCCAAACATTTTTGTTTGTTTATGCACTGTTCCTACTACTTATTATATCTTGATGTAACCCACTAAATTGTATTATCTGTAAACAGTTATTTTACATGTTGAATAAATTAAACAAACAAACCAACAAATATATAAATGAAAACTGCAATTAGAACTAAATTTCATTTTGAAATATTATCTATCTTTGCAGAGATTATGGAGAGCACGGTCCAATCGCAGGGAAGCCTCCCAACCAAGATCGTGGGCAGACCAAGAACAAGCGACCCCCTCCAGATCCTGCCAACGTCGAGCTTAATGATTCTCCACCATTCGACCACGACAACAATGCTGATGTCAAGGAGAGAGGCTATATTAGTCCCCCAGTAGTAGATTTAGAACTGGGGGACCAGCCGCAATCTTCAAAGATGAAAGACATCGCTGGGTTGCCTCATGGCGATGATGGGATGGAGGAGGAAGAGAAGTTATCTCAGCCTACCAGTCTCTCGTCGAAGGATGGTTGGGTACCTCTTACACCTCTTCCAGATGTTGAGGGCTTCATCATGCAAGCAGTGGGAATGCCAAACACACACCTGTCAGGAGGGGAGCAGCTCTCAATGCCCAAGAGCCTCTCCTCCCAGCTGGATGAGAAGTTATCTCAGCCTACCAGCCTCTCATCGGACGATGGTGGGGTACTCCTAGCTCCTCTCTCTGATGATGAGGGGGGCAACATGCAAGCAGTGGAAATGCCAAACAAACACCTGTCAGGAGGGGAGCAGTTCTCAAGGCCCAAGAGCCTCTCCTCCCAGCTGGATGAGAAGTTATCTCAGCCTACCAGCCTCTCATCGGACGATGGTGGGGTACTCCTAGCTCCTCTCCCTGATGATGAAGGGGACATCATGCAAGCTGTGGAAATACCAACCATACACCTGTCAGGAGGGGAGCAGTTCTCAAGGCTCAAGAGCCTCTCCTCCCAGCCGGATGAGATTCTACCTCGTCCTTTTCAAGGCAATAGATCGAGTAAATAGGTCAGCAGGAGGTCTTTAAACTGCTACAAGTTGACCAGAGCAAAGGGAAGGCAGTATGGAAGAGAGCTACAGAAGCTGAGAAGGGAGGTCGCCTCTTTGAAAGCAAAGAGGGAGAGGAATACATCTGCTGGCCTCGATGGTGGCAATGCTGATAAAAGAGGCGCAATCCCCTGGCAGATCTTCAGACCAGTATATGACGATCTGAAAATGATGCTCAGAGATTTCACCAGGGTGTATTTGCCCCAGATGACATGTTGGAGTATCACGATAGCAGTAGGGGTACATCTGTGGTAGGAGTGACTTCTAACATGTCAAACCCGAGCTGCAATGCATTAGACCCAAAATGTGAAATCCGATTTTGGGTCTAAGAGGAACCAGAAACCAGAAACCAGGATTTCAAGGACGGGGTTATGTTGTCGACCTTCACGTGGTGACCCTGTTAACTGACTAATGTCAAACTAACGACAACCGATAACTATCAAGAACAGAGACTGCTTAACTAATCAGAACCTGGCTTCTAATACAAATCATTGGCCTAGCCTGATTTATGCTGCTTCATACAGAAAATATTCTCTGTGTGAAGGCGAACTTTGTTCAAGATTAAATAAGAATTTTAAAATTCAATGCAGTTGTTCACTTTCCATGTCTCTAAGCATATGTGTCTAGGATAAGAGAAATTATGAAGAGGTGACTTGAAATTTAAAAGGAGGGGAGTAAAAAGAGAGAGGGAAAGTGACAGACAGACAGACAGGGAGAGACTGAGACAGGGAGAGCAATAGAGATAGAATCAGATAAAGATCGAGAGACAGAGACAGGGAGAAAGAGAAATGAAAAGAGAGAAAAAGTGGTGGGAGGGTAGGATTCAGAAGAAAAAACAGAGATATATAGAGAATTGGAGAGAGCGAGGGTAGGGGGGGGGGAAGAAAGGGAGGGAGGTAAAGTAAAAAAAGAAAAAATTGGAGATGGCTTTATTAAAGGCATCATTTAACAATGTAAAATCTGAGATGCATGTGTTATCAGTGTCTGTGATATGGTGTAATATTGAAGCCCTAAAATTGCACTTCTAAATGATCATGAAGTGCCTCAAAAATTAGAAATCTTTGGGTGACCGTTTTTACCATACTCATTTTCCCCAATAGACTAGTGTTATAGGAAAACGAATTTTTAAATTTGGGTTTCCAATCATAAATATCTTGATAATCAGACAGGCGATCAGCTTGCAAAAGTCATGGGGTTCCTGACTGACCTAAAGGTTTATTATTATCATTGCAGACTGACCTAAAGGTTTATAATTATCATTGCAGCATGAGCTAAATCCAGGATTTTGTTTGAGAATCTGAGACAAAGTTATCCAATCCCTTTAAAAATGAAAATAATGACATTTTCCTGATAAACCCATGTCAGTATATTTCCCTTGCAAACAGCTCTCTATTACTCTTGCATTGAAAACATAATCAGGAATTTTTCTTTTCTTCTAAACCAACTATTGATTAGATAATTTTCAGCAAAAGACAGAAAAGAGCTGCTTGATTAGGGTTTCCTCAAAATTTCTTTGATCAGCATCTAATTTTCCCCCTGCTTTTATACAATTTGATGAGATAAGAATGAACTTCCACTGTACAGTCACATTGCCTACCATGACAATGAAATTCAATGTACATGCACTGCAGTTCTACAGTATTTCAAATCAAACAAATCAATGTACAGTGTGCCCTTTTATATAATACAACTGTATTTCTTTATTAGACGCGTCGCATAAATGTCAACGAGAGGAGGCAAGATTACATTTATCAATAATAACAGTTATCAACAAAAGGTTTTCATGCGATCTGATGACTAATTCAGTTGTGTGGCCCTGACCTATATATTTGCTTGGTATTGTGTAATATACTATTTTGTTTGGAAAGAAACTGTGTCCATACGAATTTGAATTGTTTGTCACTCACCACAATTTCATAGTGGTTGTTTGGATGAGTATTAAAAATGTAGAAACAGTTACAGAAACTAACTGAAATTCATGAATATAAAAAAAGTCCCAGAATATATTTCAGTACATATGGACAGTCACAAGTCTTAGAACAACTTATAAAATATGTTGAATTAAACCTAAAAACTCATCTTTTCAAAACTGCTTTCCTGTAGATCTATTTGTATCGTCTAACGCATCTTTCTATTGTGTATTTTCATGTTCAAAGGGGGAGGGAGGGAGGGAGGGTGGGAGGGAGGGAGAGAAAGACGAAGCAGTGGGAGAGAGGGGAAGGAGAGAAGGGAAAGGGGAGAGGAGAGGGGGGGGGGGGTTACAAGAAATATGCAAATAAATAGAGAAAGGGGAGTAAGGGAGAAAGAGATGGACACTTTTGAGAGTGTGGAAGGATAGGGTTATGGAGACGGAGAAATACAGGAACGAGAAGAGGGAACAAAATTGGATTCATGGAAAATTGCATGTATCTTCAAATAATACTTTATAGCATGCATCCTTACAATATAAAATCTCAGCTGCAAGCAAATTTATCAAGGTGTCTGACTTTAAAAGTTCCACTTGACACTATCTGAATGTAGTTAATTTTTAGAACGATCTGTCTGCTGACATTGTTTAGGCATCATCAGTCAATTTTTTAGTCCATACTCAAACAATGGAATTGGAAACTGAAGTGTAGGCTAATAAGTTCGAACCTAAATGTTTGAAGAAAAATTTGATCAGTGTGTGAGGATTGATTTGACGAGCTTGATATTAACAGGAACAAATCTAGTGAATGGCCTTCTACAAATCTCTAGACTTACTCACTGGCCGTTATCATACAGGTAATTTAAAGCAAGTCTTCCTTTTCCCTCTCTTACTCCCCCCCCCCCCCACCCGCCCCGGGCCCCTCTCTTCCTTGTGTAAGGAGCTGAAGTTATATTTTGTTTGAAAGAAATGAGAGCGCTTAACCCTTATAAAAAAAAAATCCATGGTAACCATGTTTTTTTTGGTCCAAATTACTATTCACCATGGTAACCATGTTACCATGTTTCCCATGGTTCTGAAAAATGGAAAACTAAAAATAATGAGAAAGCTTTAAAATATTGGTTTCGTTTTCACCAGTAAGGTACACAATAAAATCTTCTTAAAATATTCTCCCAAACACAGGCCTCAAATCATTATCAATGTTGTGACTGGTTTGAACGTTCATAGTCTAACAACCAAGACAGTATTATGTCTCTTCCATTCAAGCCAACTCAAAACACTAATGGTCCCGCTAATGGTCAAACGTGGAATATTAATCTAATAAAAAGAGTCGCCGTGAAACACAATGAAACGGAAGTGCCTCAGAGGTACATGTAGGCTAGAAAGATACTTACTGATTCTGTCTAAATGCGGTCAAATGCGATTTGGAGCCACAAAGGCCCTATAATGACCTAGTTTGTCTCTAAAACAGACTCAATGACTGCATGGGTATTTTGGGGTCGTCCTAAATGGGGTTATAAAATTTAGGGTCGTCATCATTTCTTTATACATGTTATTCAAGTAACCTAGCCAAAACTGCCTGATCTCTGAGAAATGCTCCTATCTGTAAAGATTTAGATATTTATTTTACTTTGTTCATTAAAAATATATAAAATGGGTCTCGAATTGCAGACTAATTGTCTAGACGCAAGGGGAATCCCCGTTTGTCATTGATTTTGTGCGAAGCCACTACCCACGTCCACGTCATCGTTCGTTTCAAAGCCTATACTCCCTATCCTGTACTCCCTATCCTGCGAACAAATCTGATAAAGAACAGGTAAAATACATTTATTTTGCAGCTTATCTATTCTTAGATTCTACAACACATTTAAAGTATGAATTAACGTTTTTTTAATCAGCGATAATCCATATCCCAAGAACCGGCCCTGGCCTGGCCTGCGCCTGGCAGCCATCTTTAATATGCGTCATGCCATTGTGTTTACAAACACCGGGGCAGCTGCAGTGCAGTGCCACTGTATCACTGGCAGTGGTGCAGTGCAGTATGCTGGAGGATATTTTGGATTCAGCAGCATTTAGGTTCAGGCCCAGGGCCAATGTGGCAAGGAAAGTTGGCTCTATAACATAAAAACAGGCAGAGGATGGCAAATCTGGTACTCTGAGCTGACTGCCACATTTCTTGAGATAGATCTAATTCTTATTTCAAATTTTGTATGAAGGTCCATCATGATCATCTAGTCAATGGAGATTGCGATATTTCTAGTTGTATCATTATCCGAATACCGTAGTATAGATATAATAACTGCTACGAGAGGGATAGTTTTTTTTATGGGCTCAAGGGGACGTTAAATCCTGTTATCACCCCGAGGCGTGACTCGATGTTAAAGCAGTCTTTGCATCTTTTACCGAATTCACAAAAAAACCTACAATCAATTCTTACCTTGTCCTTTTCTTGAGTAAAGTCTGGTTAAAACATCACAGAAAATCTGAGACACTCTCTTTAAATCTTCGCTGGAAAGTTGCCTGAATGCTACAATCATTTGGGAATTGCACACACACTGCACTGTATTTTATATCCACGCTCGCGCAAATATACTTTTTACACGTAAACCAATGGCAATCTCACCAATATTTGTTTATGCGGCCCTTTAACTTGGGCATACAAGCATCTTTTAAAAGATTATTGACCGGTAGGCGGGTAGGCGGGCATGCAGGCATCTTTTAAGAGACTACTGACCAGTAGGCGGGCATGGCTAAAATCACGATTCCAATTTCGACCAATCAAATGGCTAGATTTCTAAAGAGAGGTATATAATTATATAATATGGACTGGCCTTGATGACTCTATACGTGTCCGCGCACCTACCCCCTGGACATCAATTCCTGAATAACCACCCCAGTCAACAACATATTATTTCCAAAAACTAGACTCATATTGCCCGTAGTCAAAGGACAAGGGTGATATATAAGGGTCTTGTGAGGGCAATATATGTGGTATCTCCCGAAAGTTAAGCCAGTCAATATTGTTAATGTCAGCCAAATCAGACATCTAGAGCAAATACATAAATCAACCATGACAGTCTCATAGAACTGAACAAACTTTGTCAACCAGCACTGCTTGACGAAATTTTTGATACACTGCAAACAGTGAGCCTTGGTGTGATATTATTACATCACAGTAGAGTGCGCGCAAAGTGCGCAATGAAAATGACAAAATACAGTGCGGTCAATACAAGACACTAGTAGGCGGTGTCACACAGACGCCAAAAATCCGGATTTTAGTTATCCTCTTAATTGCTGTCTGTCATTAATTATCCCATTAAAAATCCTCTAACGAAGCAAGAAAATTCTCTCTTGAAAGGATTTTTCAAGGGAATTTTTAAGGGATTTTTCTGTGTGACACCGCCTTATATTTTCACTCGTCTCTACACGCAAAGTCGCAAAGTCTATACATACAGGGAGACCAGGGAAAATACAAAGAATATACCCCTCTGTTCTCACTCCTAGTGAAAACTAGGGAATACGGTTTTGTAAATGACCAGCTCAGATGTCTGATACAGGTAATATTAACCAATATACCAGTTTTGCAAAGTTTTATGACAAATTCAAAGGCCTAAACTTATTATCTGTAATTGTTATGTAGACTCGTATTATGAATATTTTTTTTATATACATTTCCTCTTTGTGTTTCCTTTATTCCATCCATAAAGAGGAAAAAGAAAAAAGAGGAAAAAGTTCACATGTGGAAAGCCATGCTACTGTGTGTAATAGCTGCATGATGGAAACTCGAAAGTTTCTGTTCAGTTTTCATTGACCAGATCGAATGAATTACAATTGATCAATACTTGTTTCTTTATAGATCGTGTCTGCCCAGCAGATTTAAGCTTCAACTGTAGTCTGTACTCTACCTTGCAGCATCGTTGTCAAGCGGCCGGTACTAGATGAAAGAAAAGGAACAGGATAGGGAGGGCTCTCGTCCCAAGTATGAAAGGTATAACATTTTTCAAAAATTATTTTTAATGTATTCAGCTAAGACTCATTTATTGTATCATTAACGTTTCAGTGGCTTCGTACAAAAATGTACCAGGTGTAATTTACTTAGGAAAGAGCTAGAAACCAAATATCTTTGTTATTTTAAAATCACTTAATATTTTCAAATAATATCTTCCCATACAGTCATATTCATGATATTGAAATTTTGCAAATTTCAATTCCTGACTGAGAAGGAAATAATTGTCAATGAAATTAGCTTTGGTGACTTTATAGTTGTACATGTAAAATGGTAGGCAATCAGAACTAAAATTCATTTTCAAATTTCATCTATCTCTTCAGAGATGACAAAGAACATGGGTTAATCACAGGGAAGCCTCCAAACCAAGATCATGGGCAACCCAAGAACAAGCGACCCCCTCCAGATCCTGCCAACTTCGAGCACAATGGTGATCCTCCACCTTTAGACCACAACAACAATGCAGATGTCGTGGAGAGAGACATAGGAGTGGAGCAGTTCTCAATGCCCAAGAGCCTGATCTCTGAGCTGGATGAGAAGTTATCTCGGCCTACCAGCCTCTCATCGAAGGATGGTCAGGTACCACTTCCAGACGTTGAGGGGGACATCATGCAAGCAGTGGAAATGTCAACCACAGACCTGTCAGGATCGGGAGAGCAGTTCTCAATGCCCAAGAGCCTCACCTCCCAGCTGGATAAGATTCTATTTTGTCCTTTTCAAGCAAGTAGATCAAGTAACAGAGTCAGCAGGAGGTATTTGAGCTGCATCAAATTCACAAGAGCATCTGGAGTGCAGTGTGGAAGAGAGCTACAGAAGCTGAGAATGGAGGTTGATTGCCTGAAGGCCAATGCAGATAAAAGAGGTACAGTCCCCTGGCAAATCTACGTATATGACGATCTGAAGAAGACGCTTGTAGGATTCATGGCATGTTTGATTATCACAATAGTAGTAGGATACGTCATGCAACTGTGGTAGGAATGAGTAGCCTCCAAGATTTGAGCTGGAATTGGTCTCTGAGGTTGCTGTGAGTTGTTTGAGGGCATCGTCATCCTCCTGTGCAGTGTTAAAAGCATTGAAATCAATGATGGAGGTTGATCTGATAGGGTTGACGATGCCTTATTCTAGGATGTGGTGGAATTCAGGTAATGTTGAACCCGGCAGTTTGTAAGTTACAAGGACTGGGTGATGTAGGAGGGCCTCTGGTCTAGCTTGATGTGCTGTGAGACAGAGTGTTTACCCTCTAGTTGTGTTATGTCTGGAAATTGAGAGATTTATATGTAGTATGTATGAGGTTTGTTAGCGGTTTGCCCCAATTGCTGATAGAAGGTCGGACAATGCTTAATTCTAGCAATTCTTCGAGTTCAGGTCAGGTAATGTTGTACCTGTCTGTTGATGAGGACGGGGTGAGTGTTTTCCCTCTAGTACACTGGTTGTGTGATGTCTGGAAATTGGTAAAGAAGAGATTTGTAAGTAGTATGTACGAGGTTTGTTAGCGGTTTGCCCCAATTGCTGATAGAAGGTCGGATGATGCTTAATTCTAGCAATTTTTCGAGTTCAGGTCAGGTAATGTTGTACCTGTCGGTTGATGAGGACGGGGTGATGTAGGGGGGCCTCTGGTCTAGCTTGATGTGCTGTGAGACAGAGTGTTTGCCCCCTAGTTGTGTTATGTCTGGAAATTGAGAGATTTGTAAGTAGTATGTACAAGGTTTGTTAGCGGTTTGCCCCAATTGCTGATAGAAGGTCGGATGATGCTTAATTCTAGCAATTCTTCGAGTTCAGGTCAGGTAATGTTGTACCTGTCAGTTGATGAGGACGGGGTGGTGTAGGGGTGACGTAGGAGGGCCTCTGGTCTAGCTTGATGTGCTGTGAGACAGAGTGTTTGCCCCCTAGTTGTGTTATGTCTGGAAATTGAGAGATTTGTAAGTAGTATGTACAAGGTTTGTTAGCGGTTTGCCCCAATTGCTGATAGAAGGTCGGATGATGCTTAATTCTAGCAATTCTTCGAGTTCAGGTCAGGTAATGTTGTACCTGTCAGTTGATGAGGACGGGGTGGTGTAGGGGTGACGTAGGAGGGCCTCTGGTCTAGCTTGATGTGCTGTGAGACAGAGTGTTTGCCCTCTAGTTGTGTTATGTCTGGAAATTGAGAGATTTGTAAGTAGTATGTACAAGGTTTGTTAGCGGTTTGCCCCAATTGCTGATAGAAGGTCGGATGATGCTTAATTCTAGCAATTCTTCGAGTTCAGGTCAGGTAATGTTGTACCTGTCTGTTGGTAAGTGATGAGGACGGGGCGATGTAGGAGAGCCTCTGGTCTTGATGTGCTGTGAGACAGAGTGTTTTCCTTCTAGTTGTGTTATATGTCTGGAAATTGAGAGATTTGTAAGTAGTATGTACGAGGTTTGTTAGCGGTTCGCCCCAATTGCTGATAGAAGGTCGGATGATGCTTAATTCTAGCAATTCTTCAAGTTCAGGTCAGGTAATGTTGTACCTGTCGGTTGATGAGGACGGGGTGATGTAGGAGGGCCTCTGGTCTAGCTTGATGTGCTGTGAGACAGAGTGTTTGCCCTCTAGTACACTGGTTGTGTGATGTCTGGAAATTGAGAGATTTGTAAGTAGTATGTACAAGGTTTGTTAGCGGTTTGCCCCAATTGCTGATAGAAGGTCGGATGATGCTTAATTCTAGCAATTCTTCGAGTTCAGGTCAGGTAATGTTGTACCTGTCGGTTGATGAGGACGGGGTGATGTCGGAGGGCCTCTGGTCTAGCTTGATGTGCTGTGAGACAGAGTGTTTGCCCTCTAGTACACTGGTTGTGTTATGTCTGGAAATTGAGAGATTTGTAAGTAGTATGTACGAGGTTTGTTAGCGGTTTGCCCCAATTGCGGATAGAAGGTCGGACAATGCTTAATTCTAGCAATTCTTCGAGTTCAGGTCAGGTAATGTTGTACCTGTCGGTTGATGCGGACGGGGTAATGTAGGAAGGCCTCTGGTCTTGATGTTTGCCGTCACGTAGACTGGTTGTGTGATGTCTGCAAATTGGTCAAGATGAGATGTAAGATGAGTTGAATGTAGAGAATTTAGATGTATGAATATTCTCCAAGTGAGACGAAGGAGATTGAGATAGAAGAAATCTGCTCCTAGTGAATGCATGAAACAAATTGAGACGTGTAGAGACGATTGAAGTGTCGATTCAATGAGAAAAGTTTGAGAAGTCTATTTTTGAGCTGCCGTGTAGACCCAAAATGTGAAATCTGATTTTGGGTCTAAGAGGAATCAGGATTTCAATGGGAGGGGTTCATGTTGTCGACCTTCACGTGGTGAGCCCTGTCAACTGACTGCTGTCAGGCTAACAGACAACCATTTACAAAACAGAAAGCAATATGTATTGCTTATGTTGATCTATAATTTATTACCAAATTCATGTGGTGTCTAGCAAGGATCTATTCTTGACGGTCCTTTGTTATTTTTTATTTATGTTAATGATATTTCAAACACATCTAACTTTTTACAGTACATCCTATTTGCCGATGACACTAATGTATTTTATTCTGATTCCAACTTTCATTCCCTCATTGATACCAGGAATAATGAATTACCAACATTTTCTGTATGATTGAATGCAACAATTATCATTAAATTTGAAAAAGACAAACTATTCATTCTCAGAATGTAAAATCTGATGAACCCCCTAAAGTGGATGGTGTGGTTATTGAACAAACTGAAAGTACTAAATTTCTTGGACTTTATCGTAGGCATATACTCTTTAATTTTGTCACTATGTTCCTTTGAATATCTTATTTATTCTGTACAATACTATGATATTACCTTTTATTTCATATTGTAATTCGATATGGGCAAACACTATAAGCACAACAATACGGATATTATTTATTTGTTACAAAAGAAAGCAATCTGTGTTGCACAAATGTTGGTTACCGTGATCACACAATCGGTTATTCTATAGTTTGAAAACATTAACAGTTAGATATCAATTTTCTACAAACTGCCATTTTTATGTTTTATGCCTTCAGAATAAACAGCTCCCTGTGTCATTGTCTATTATGTTCTAATTGAATGAAGATATCCACTCCTATATACGCATACCCTACAATTAAACAATCTACTGATTTCCATTTGTGCAATCCAAAAACCGTTCTAGCCCTTAAATCTATTCGCCACACTGGCCCAGATGTATGGAATTCTTTTCCCATTGATACCCGTAATGCGCTTTCACTGTACTTCTTCAAAAAAATTGGTCAAAGCTTTTCTTCTTTCACAGTACATATATGTTGCATAACAGATATTTCAATTCTATGTTACCGTAATGAATATGTATTATCATGTAAACCAGTTATCAATGTCATGTTGTTGTTATAATTTACAAAAACCTCTTTTGTAATAATTAAGATTGATTTACTCAGTAGTTAAATGAAATGTGCCTTTTTTGTATATCTCAGCATTTAGATACAAATAGCCCCATATCATTATTGTTTCTCTATCTATCCCTCTCTTACTCTCTCTCTCTCTCTCTCTCTCTCTCTCAGTTTTTGCAATTTTGTGCCTGTTTGTATTATCATATCATATTTTGCTCTCACTGTAATCACAAGTTAAAGAGCTGCATGCACTTCATGTGCACACTTATCAATACATTGCACAAATCAAATAAAAAACTTAGTAGCATAGTCTGATTTATGGTGCTTCATACAGAAAAAATTCTTTCTTGTGTGAAGGCGAACTTTGTTCAAGAATAAATAAAAAAAAATTAAAATTCAATGCAGTTGTTCATGATTTTCCATGTTTCTAAGCATATGTATCTAGGATAAGAGAAATGATGAAGAAGCCACTCAAGATTTAAAAGGAGGGGAGTAAAGAGAGAGAGAGAGAGAGAGAGAGAGAGAGAGAGAGAAAGTGACGGACAGACAGGAGAGACTGAGACAGGGAGAGATTCAGACAAAGATAGAGAGATAGAGTCAGGGATGAAAAGAGATGAAAAGAGAAAGATATGAGTGGAAGAGAGAAAAAGAGGTGTGAGGGTTAGATTCAGAATAAGAAAAAGGGAGATAAAAAGAGAAATATTGGAGGGAGGGGGAGAAAGGAGAGAGAAAGGTAAAGTAAAAAAGAAAGAATTGGAGATGGCTTTATTAAAAATGAAAATAATGACATTTTCCTGATAAACCCATGTCAGTATATTTCCCTTGCAAACAGCTCTCTATTACTCTTACATTGAAAACAAAATCAGGAATTTTTCTTTTCTCCTAAAGCAACTATTGATTAGATAATTTTCAGCAAAAGACAGAAAAAAGTTGCTTGCTAAGTAACAAAGTTATCAATTTGTATGTGATTGATAACCACATATTTATAAATTTCACACTTTTCTTGCTCTTAATTAGGGTTTCCTCAAAATTTCTTTGATCAGCATCTAATTTTTCTTCTGCTTTTATACAATTTGATGAGATAAGAATGAACTTCCACTGTACAGTCACATTGTCTACCATGAAAATGAAATTCAATGTACATGCACTGCAGTTCTACGGTATTTCAAATCAACAAACAAATCAATGTACAGTGTGCCCTTTTATATAATACAACTGTATTTCTTTATTAGACGCGTCACATAAATGTCAACGAGAGGAGGCAAGATTACATTTATCAATAATAACAGTTATCAACAAAAGGTTTTCATGCGATCTGATGACTAATTCAGTTGTGTGGCCCTGACCTATATATTTGCTTGGTATTGTGTAATATACTATTTTGTTTGGAAAGAAACTGTGTCCATACGAATTTGAATTGTTTGTCACTCACCACAATTTCATAGTGGTTGTTTGGATGAGTATTAAAAATGTAGAAACAGTTACAGAAACTAACTGAAATTCATGAATATAAAAAAAGTCCCAGAATATATTTCAGTACATATGGACAGTCACAAGTCTTAGAACAACTTATAAAATATGTTGAATTAAACCTAAAAACTCATCTTTTCAAAACTGCTTTCCTGTAGATCTATTTGTATCGTCTAACGCATCTTTCTATTGTGTATTTTCATGTTCAAAGGGGGAGGGAGGGAGGGAGGGTGGGAGGGAGGGAGAGAAAGACGAAGCAGTGGGAGAGAGGGGAAGGAGAGAAGGGAAAGGGGAGAGGAGGGGGGGGGGGGTTACAAGAAATATGCAAATAAATAGAGAAAGGGGAGTAAGGGAGAAAGAGATGGACACTTTTGAGAGTGTGGAAGGAGAGGGTTATAGAGACGGAGAAATACAGGAACGAGAAGAGGGAACAAAATTGGATTCATGGAAAATTGCATGTATCTTCAAATAATACTTTATAGCATGCATCCTTACAATATAAAATCTCAGCTGCAAGCAAATTTATCAAGGTGTCTGACTTTAAAAGTTCCACTTGACACTATCTGAATGTAGTTAATTTTTAGAACGATCTGTCTGCTGACATTGTTTAGGCATCATCAGTCAATTTTTTAGTCCATACTCAAACAATGGAATTGGAAACTGAAGTGTAGGCTAATAAGTTCGAACCTAAATGTTTGAAGAAAAATTTGATCAGTGTGTGAGGATTGATTTGATGAGCTTGATATTAACAGGAACAAATCTAGTGAATGGCCTTCTACAAATCTCTAGACTTACTGGCCGTTATCATTGGTAATTTAAAGCAAGTCTTCCTTTTCCCTCTCTTACTCCCCCCCCCCCCCCCCCCACCCGCCCCGGGCCCCTCTCTTCCTTGTGTAAGGAGCTGAAGTTATATTTTGTTTGAAAGAAATGAGAGCGCTTAACCCTTATAAAAAAAAAATCCATGGTAACCATGTTTTTTTTGGTCCAAATTACTATTCACCATGGTAACCATGTTACCATGTTTCCCATGGTTCTGAAAAATGGAAAACTAAAAATAATGAGAAAGCTTTAAAATATTGGTTTCGTTTTCACCAGTAAGGTACACAATAAAATCTTCTTAAAATATTCTCCCAAACACAGGCCTCAAATCATTATCAACGTTGTGACTGGTTTGGACGGTCATAGTCTAACAACCAAGACAGTATTATGTCTTTTCCATTCAAGCCAACTCAAAACACTAATGGTCCCGCTAATGGTTAAACGTGGAATATTAATCTAATAAAAAGAGTCGCCGTGAAACACAATAAAACGGAAGTGCCTCAGTTAGAGGTACATGTAGGCTAGAAAGATACTTACTGATGCTGTCTAAATGCCATGGCGATTTGGAGCCACAAAGGCCCTATAATGACCTAGTTTGTCTCTAAAAAACAGACTGCATGGGTATTTTGGGTCGTCCTAATTGGGGTTATAAAATTTAGGGTCATCATCATTTCTTTATACATGTACTTCAAGTAACCTAGCCACAACTGCCTGATCTCTTAGAAATGCTCCAATCTGGAAAGATCAAGGTATTTACTTTGTTCATTTAAAATATACCACAGGAGTCTTGAACTGCAGACTAATTGTCTAGACGCAAGGGGAATCCCCGTTCGTCATTGAAGTTGGGCGAAGCCACAACCCAGCTCCACGTCATCGTTCGTGAAAAAAATCTTATAAAGAACAGGTAAAAGACATTTATTTTGCAGCTTATATATCTTAGATAGTAAAACACATTTCAAGTATAAATTTAACGTTTTTTAATCAGCGACAATCCAAATCCAAAGAACTCCGATTTATTTGATAAAGGCTTGTTACAGAACCTGGCCTGGCAGCCATTTTTATGCGTCATGGCTGAAGCTCATGTTTACAAACACCGGCCGGGGCGCGTTATTTTTTTCTGCGGCACAGATTGGGATTAGGTGCGTGTTGAGCCTATGGGAAAGTTTAGGGTCAGGGTTAGGGTTAGGGTTAGAGTTAAATCAAGACCTCTTTAAAAAAAAAAAGCCCAAATCTGTGCCGCAGAAAAAATTAAGTGACGCCACCGGGGCGGCGCGCGCGGCGCAGTGTATATATGCCACTGTATCCACTGGCAGTGCATGCAGTGCAGTTACGTTACTCCACTATAGTATGCTGGAGGATTATTTGAATTCAGAAGCATTCAGGGGCAATGCGGCAAGGAAAATCGGCTCTATAACATAAAAACAGGCAGAAGATGACAAATCTGGTATCAAATTATTAATACAAAGTTTTGGTATGGGGTCATGTCATGAAGCTGCCCCCAGTGTTTCGTCTTCCGGGTCAATGCCTCAACGGTCACATTTTGATTTCTAGTCTGAGCTGCGCAGGATGGCATGAGTGCACTCTGCCGCAGTCAACATTTCTTAATGGATTTCTTATTTTCTTTCGAATTTTGTATGGAGATGTATCTTAGTTAAATCTACACATCTTTAGTGTTTGGTGGTGCTGCCACCTGTCTTCAAAGGCCATAAACTGCCACATTTCTTGAGAGATTTTTTTCAAATTTTGTATGGAGGTCCATCATAGTTTACTCTAGACCTCTACATATTTAGTTATGCTCCCCCCCCCCCCAGTGTTCAATCTTTTATAGGGTCAAATGTTGCATGTTATGGGATCTATCTTGTGTCGCTCTGCATGTCACATTTCTTGACACATTTCTTTCAATTTTTTTATAGAGATGCATTATACTCTAATCTACACACATATTGTTTTGGTGATGCTGCTCCAAGTCTTGACAATAGCTAGTCCAAGCCACTAGTGCATGGCGATCTCTACGTCACACTTTTGTTTGAGTGATCTTTGTCCCTCCTTCGAACATAAGGATGACACAAAAATCGCTGCCAGTGCCGGGGGATACATTCGCATTGCGCGGCAACGGAGATTGCAATATTTCTAGTTGTTATCATCCGAATATCGTATACATAAAATGACGACTGCTATGAGAGGGATAGTTGTTTTTATAGGCTCATGAAGATGTTACATTCTGATATCAACCCGAGGCGTGCCTCAAATATTAAAGCTTTATATCTTTATTTACCGAATTCACAAACAAATCTACAAAGAATTCTTACCTTATCCTTTTCTTGAGTAAAGACTGGTTAAAACATCACAGAAAATCTGAGACACTCTCTGTAAATCTTCACTGGAAAGTTGCCTAAATATTACAATCATTTTAGAATCGCACACACACACTGCACTGTATTTTGTATCTGCGCTGGGGATATCTCACCAAAATTTATTTATGCGGCCCATTAAACGGGGCATGCAGGCATCTTTTAAAAGACTATTGACCGGTAGGGGGCATGGCTAAAATCATGACTCCAATTTTGACCAATCAAATGGCTAGATTTCTAAAGAGAGGTATATAATAACCAATATACTATGAAAAATTCAATGGCCTAAACTTGCTATCTGTAATTGTCATGTCTCGTATTATATAAGTTGCTTTTATACATTCCTCTTTGTGTTGGCTCTATTCCATCCATAAAGAGGAAAAAGATAAGAAGTAAAAAGCCAAGGTGCTGTCATCTTGTAGTACTGATGCATGATGTGGAAGTGGTTATTTTACCTGACTGCTAAGAAAACATAAATGCTTGTAAGTATAAGCAACCAGACGGCCGACTGCTTTAGGTCCTCTCCGAGGGACCTAGTAATGAGGATTAATGCCTTACCAAAGGGCACTAGCGCATCAACTTGGTTTTGAAACCGGATTGTGAGACCACTGCTCTACCGACTGAGCTATCGCTCCTCCTTACATGATGGGAAGTTTATGTTCAGTTTTCGTCGACTAGAATGTATTATAATTGATCAATACTTATTTCTTTATAGATCGTGTCTACCTAGCAGATTCAAGCTTCAACTGTACTCTGTACTCTACCTTGCAGTGTTGCTGTCGAGCAGTACGTACAAGCTGATGATGGAAAAGGAACAGGAAAGGGAAGAGGAAAGGGAGAGCTATCCTCCCAAGTATGAAAGGTACTATATACACCTGTTTCAAAGAGCATTTTTAATGTATTCAGCTGAGACTATTATCATATAATTAACATTTCATCTGCTTTGTACAAAAATGTACCAGTTGGCATTTGTTTATCTGAAAGAGCTAGAAACCAAATGTCTTTGTAATTTTAAAATCCCCTAATATTTTTCAAACATAATCTGCCAATACAGTCTTATTCATGATATTGAATTTTTGATGTTGATGAATTTTTGCAAATTTCAATTCCTGGCTGACAAGGAAATAATTGTCAATAAAATTTGCTTTAAGTACTTTATAGTTGTACATGTAAATGATACCGGCAATTAGAACTAAATTTCATTTCAAAATTTATCTATCTTTGCAGTGATTATGGAGAGCACGGTCCAATCGCAGGGAAGCCTCCCAACCAAGATCGTGGGCAGCCGAAGAACAAGCAACCCCCTCCAGATCTTGCCAACTTCGAGCAAAACGGTGATTCTCCACCATTCAACCAAAACAACAACGCTGATGTCAAGGATAGAGGCTGTACTACTCCCCCAGGAGTAGACATAGCTGTAGGAGACAAGCCACAATCTTCAAGGATAGAAGACATCGCTGGATTGCCTCATGGCGATCACCCATCTCTTAGGATTGAAAACATGTCTCCATTGAATGATGGGATGAAGGAGGGAGAGAAGTTATCTCAGCCTACCAGCCTCTTGTCGAAGGATGGTAAGGTACCCCTTCCACCTCTCCCGGATGTTGAGGAGGGCATCTTGCAAGCAGTGGAAATGCCAAACACACACCTATCAGGAGGGGAGCAGTTCTCAATGCCCAAGAGCCTCTCCTCCCAGCTGGATGAGGAGTTTTCTCAGCCTACCAGCCTCTCGTCAAAGGATGGTAACGTACCCCTTCCTCCTCTCCCTGATGTTGAGGGGGACATACCAAACACACACCTGTCAGAAGGGGAGCAGTTTTCAATGCCCAAGAGTCTCACATCCCAGATGGATAAGATAAGAGTCAAAAGAGTCAGCAGCAGGCAGTTGAACCGCAACAAGTTCACAAGAGCATCTGGAAGGCAAGGTGGAAGAGAGCTAAAGAACCGGAGAAGGGAGGTTGACCGCCTGAATGTAATGAGGGATAGGAATACATCTGGTGGCCTCAATGGTGCCAATGCCGATAGAAGAGGCACAATCCCCTGGCAGATCTACGTATATAACGATCTGAAGAAGATGCTCGTAGAATTCACCAGGGTGTATTTGCCCAAAATGGCATGTTGGAGTATCACGCTAGCTTTAGGATACATCTGTGGTAGGAATGAGTAGCTGCTAGTAGGTCGGATAACGCCTAATTCTAGCATGCTGTGGTCGAATACAGATCTGGCAATGTTGTACCTGTCGGTTGCTAAGAGACGTGGACGGGCTAATCATGATGCAGGATAGCCTCCGGTCTCGATGTGCTGTGTGACAGAGTGGTTGATGTTTGCCCTCTCGTAGACTGGTGTGAAGTCTGGAAATCGGTCTAGAAGAGATTTGCAAGCGGTTTGCCCAATTGCTGCTAGTAGTTCGGATAATGCCTAGTTCTAGCATGTGGTCGAATTCAGATCTGGCAATGTTGTACCTGTCGGTTGCTAAGGACGTGGACGGGCTGATCATGATGCAGGATAGCCTCCGGTCTCGATGTGCTGTGTGACAGAGTGGTTGATGTTTGCCCTCTCGTAGACTGGTGTGAAGTCTGGAAATCGGTCTAGAAGAGATTTGCAAGCGGTTTGCCCAATTGCTGCTAGTAGGTCGGATAATGCCTAGTTCTAGCATGTGGTCGAATTCAGATCTGGCAATGTTGTACCTGTCGGTTGCTAAGGACGTGGACGGGCTGATCATGATGCAGGATAGCCTCCGGTCTCGATGTGCTGTGTGACAGAGTGGTTGATGTTTGCCCTCTCGTAGACTGGTGTGAAGTCTGGAAATCGGTCTAGAAGAGATTTGCAAGCGGTTTGCCCAATTGCTGCTAGTAGGTCAGATAATACCTAATTCTAGCATGCTGTGGTCGAATTCATATCGGGCAATGTTGTACCTAACAGTTGCTAATACAGTAGACGTGGATGGGCTGATGCAGTATGGCCTCTGGAGTCTGGTACGTCTCAATGTGCTGTGTGACAGAGTGGTTGATGTTTACACTCTAGCTGGCTAGCTGGCTGTGTGAAGTCTGGAAATTGGTCAAGTGAGATTTGTATGCGAATTGCCCAATTGATGCTAGAAGGTTGGATGATGCCTAATTGTGGTCAAATTTAAATTGGGCAATGTTGTACCTGTCGGTTGCTAAGAGACCAGGAAGGACATGAAAAAGGATGTCCACCAGTCTCGAAGTGCATGTGTTACAGAGTGTATGATGTTGGCCCTCTCGTAGACTGGTTGTGTTAAGTCTGGAAATCGGTCAAGAAGAGATTTGTAAAAGGTTTCTAAGCGCGGTTTGCCCAATTGCTGCTAGAAGGTCGGGTGATTCCTAATTCTGGCTTGTGGTCGAATTCAGATTTGGCAATGTTGTACCTGTCGGATGCTAAGAGACTGGGAAGGACATGAAAAAGGATGTCCACCAGTCTCGAAGTGCATGTGTGACAGAGTGTATGATGTTTGCCTCTCGTAGACTGGTTGTGTTAAGTCTGGAAATCGGTCAAGAAGAGATTTGTAAAAGGTTTGTAAGCGGTTTGCCCAATTGCTGCTAGCTGGTTGGATGAAGCCTAATTCTAGCATGTGGTCGAATTCAGATCAATCAATGTTTCCTGTCGGTCGCCATAAAGAGACGTGGACAGGCTTGTAGGTGGGCCTCCCGTCTCAATGTGCTGTGTGACAGAGTGTTTTATGTTGCCCTCTTGTAGACTGGTTGTGTGAAGTCTGGAAATTGGTCAAGATGAGATTTGTAAGCGGTTTGCCCAATTGCTGCTAGCTCGTTGGATGAAGCCTAATTCATGCGGTCGAATTCAGATCAGTCAATGTTACCTGTCGGTTGCCATAAAGAGACGTGGACAGGCTTGTAGGTTGGCCTCCAGTCTCAATGTGCTGTGTGGCAGAGTGTTTTATGTTGCCCTCTCGTAGACTAGCTGGCTGTGTGAAGTCTGGAAATCGGTCAAGATGAGATTTGTAAGCGGTTTGCCCAATTGCTGCTAGCTGGTTGGATGAAGCCTAATTCTAGCATGTGGTCGAATTCAGATCAATCAATGTTTCCTGTCGGTCGCCATAAAGAGACGTGGACAGGCTTGTAGGTGGGCCTCCCGTCTCAATGTGCTGTGTGACAGAGTGTTTTATGTTGCCCTCTTGTAGACTGGTTGTGTGAAGTCTGGAAATCGGTCAAGATGAGATTTGTAAGCGGTTTGCCCAATTGCTGCTTGAAGGTTGGATGATGCCTAATTCTACCATGTGGTCGAATTCAGATCAGTCAATGTTACCTGTCCGTCGCCATAAAGAGACGTGGACAGGCTTGTAGGTGGGCCTCCCGTCTCAATGTGCTGTGTGACAGAGTGTTTTATGTTGCCCTCTTGTAGACTGGTTGTGTGAAGTCTGGAAATTGGTCAAGATGAGATTTGTAAGCGGTTTGCCCAATCGCTGCTAGAAGGTTGGATGAAGCCCAATTCTAGCATGTGGTCGTATTCAGATCAGTCAATGTTACCTGTCGGTCGCCATAAAGAGACGTGGACAGGCTTGTAGGTGGGCCTCCCGTCTCAATGTGCTGTGTGACAGAGTGTTTTATGTTGCCCTCTTGTAGACTGGTTGTGTGAAGTCTGGAAATTGGTCAAGATGAGATTTGTAAGCGGTTTGCCCAATCGCTGCTAGAAGGTTGGATGATGCCTAATTCTAGCATGTTGTCGAATTCAGGTCAGTCAATGTTACCTGTCGCTCCCCATAAAGAGACGTGGACAGGCTAGTATAGGTGGCCTCCCGTCTCAATGTGCTGTGTGACAGAGTGTTTTATGTTGCCCTCTCTTAGACTAGCTGGCTGTGTGAAGTCTGGAAATCGGTCAAGATGAGATTTGTAAGCGGTTTGCCCAAAAGCTGCTAGCTGGTTGGGTGAAGCCTTATTATAGCATGTGGTCGATTTCATATTGGGCAATTATGTTTCCTGTCGGTCGCCATAAAGAGACGTGGACAGGCTTGTAGGTGGGCCTCCCGTCTCAATGTGCTGTGTGACAGAGTGTTTTATGTTGCCCTCTTCTAGACTGGTTGTGTGAAGTCTGGAAATCGGTCAAGATGAGATTTGTAAGCGGTTTGCCCAATTGCTGCTAGCTGGTTGGATGATGCCTAATTCTAGCATGTGGTCGAATTCAGATCAGTCAATGTTACCTGTCGGTCGCCATAAAGAGACGTGGACAGGCTTGTAGGTGGGCCTCCCGTCTCAATGTGCTGTGTGACAGAGTGTTTTATGTTGCCCTCTTGTAGACTGGTTGTGTGAAGTCTGGAAATCGGTCAAGATGAGATTTGTAAGCGGTTTGCCCAATTGCTGCTAGCTGGTTGGATGATGCCTAATTCTAGCATGTGGTCGAATTCAGATCAGTCAATGTTACCTGTCGGTCGCCATAAAGAGACGTGGACAGGCTTGTAGGTGGGCCTCCCGTCTCAATGTGCTGTGTGACAGAGTGTTTTATGTTGCCCTCTTGTAGACTGGTTGTGTGAAGTCTAGAAATCGGTCAAGATGAGATTTGTAAGCGGTTTGCCCAATTGCTGCTAGCTGGTTGGATGAAGCCTAATTCTAGCATGTGGTCGAATTCAGATCAATTAATGTTACCTGTCGGTCGCCATAAAGAGACGTGGACAGGCTTGTAGGTGGGCCTCCCGTCTCAATGTGCTGTGTGACAGAGTGTTTTATGTTGCCCTCTTGTAGACTGGTTGTGTGAAGTCTGGAAATTGGTCAAGATGAGATTTGTAAGCGTTTTGCCCAATAGCTGCTATAGCTGGTTGGATGAAGCCTAATTATAGCATGTGGTCGAATTCAGATCAGTCAATGTTACCTGTAGGTCGCCATGAAGAGACGTGGACAGGCTTGTAGGTGGGCCTCCCGTCTCAATGTGCTGTGTGACAGAGTGTTTTATGTTGCCCTCTCTTAGACTAGCTGGCTGTGTGAAGTCTGGAAATTGGTCAAGATGAGATTTGTAAGCGGTTTGCCCAATAGCTGCTATAGCTGGTTGGATGAAGCCTAATTATAGCATGTGGTCGAATTCAGATCAGTCAATGTTACCTGTCGGTCGCCATGAAGAGACGTGGACAGGCTTGTAGGTGGGCCTCCCGTCTCAATGTGCTGTGTGACAGAGTGTTTTATGTTGCCCTCTCTTAGACTAGCTGGCTGTGTGAAGTCTGGAAATTGGTCAAGATGAGATTTGTAAGCGGTTTGCCCAATTGCTGCTAGAAGGTTGGATGATGCCTAATTCTAGCATGTGGTCGAATTCAGATCAATTAATGTTACCTGTCGGTCGCCATAAAGAGACGTGGACAGGCTTGTAGGTGGGCCTCCCGTCTCAATGTGCTGTGTGACAGAGTGTTTTATGTTGCCCTCTTGTAGACTGGTTGTGTGAAGTCTGGAAATTGGTCAAGATGAGATTTGTAAGCGGTTTGCCCATTTGCTGCTAGCTCGTTGGATGAAGCCTAATTCATGCGGTCGAATTCAGATCAGTCAATGTTACCTGTCGGTTGCCATAAAGAGACGTGGACAGGCTTGTAGGTTGGCCTCCAGTCTCAATGTGCTGTGTGGCAGAGTGTTTTATGTTGCCCTCTCGTAGACTGGTTGTGTGAAGTCTGGAAATCGGTCAAGATGAGATTTGTAAGCGGTTTGCCCAATTGCTGCTAGCTGGTTGGATGAAGCCTAATTCTAGCATGTGGTCGAATTCAGATCAATCAATGTTTCCTGTCGGTCGCCATAAAGAGACGTGGACAGGCTTGTAGGTGGGCCTCCCGTCTCAATGTGCTGTGTGACAGAGTGTTTTATGTTGCCCTCTTGTAGACTGGTTGTGTGAAGTCTGGAAATCGGTCAAGATGAGATTTGTAAGCGGTTTGCCCAATTGCTGCTTGAAGGTTGGATGATGCCTAATTCTACCATGTGGTCGAATTCAGATCAGTCAATGTTACCTGTCGGTCGCCATAAAGAGACGTGGACAGGCTTGTAGGTGGGCCTCCCGTCTCAATGTTCTGTGTGACAGAGTGTTTTATGTTGCCCTCTTGTAGACTGGTTGTGTGAAGTCTGGAAATTGGTCAAGATGAGATTTGTAAGCGGTTTGCCCAATCGCTGCTAGAAGGTTGGATGAAGCCCAATTCTAGCATGTGGTCGTATTCAGATCAGTCAATGTTACCTGTCGGTCGCCATAAAGAGACGTGGACAGGCTTGTAGGTGGGCCTCCCGTCTCAATGTGCTGTGTGACAGAGTGTTTTATGTTGCCCTCTTGTAGACTGGTTGTGTGAAGTCTGGAAATGGGTCAAGAAGAGATTTGTTAGCGGTTTGCCCAATTGCTGCTAGCTGGTTGGATGATGCCTAATTCTAGCATGTGGTCGAATTCAGATCGATCAATGTTACCTGTCGGTCGCCATGAAGAGACGTGGACAGGCTTGTAGGTGGGCCTCCCGTCTCAATGTGCTGTGTGACAGAGTGTTTTATGTTGCCCTCTTGTAGACTGGTTGTGTGAAGTCTGGAAATCGGTCAAGATGAGATTTGTAAGCGGTTTGCCCAATTGCTGCTAGCTGGTTGGATGAAGCCTAATTCTAGCATGTGGTCGAATTCAGATCAATTAATGTTACCTGTCGGTCGCCATAAAGAGACGTGGACAGGCTTGTAGGTGGGCCTCCCGTCTCAATGTGCTGTGTGACAGAGTGTTTTATGTTGCCCTCTTGTAGACTGGTTGTGTGAAGTCTGGAAATGGGTCAAGAAGATGATTAGTTAGCGGTTTGCCCAATTGCTGCTAGCTGGTTGGATGATGCCTAATTCTAGCATGTGGTCGAATTCAGATCAATCAATGTTACCTGTCGCTCCCCATAAAGAGACGTGGACAGGATAGTATAGGTGGCCTACCGTCTCAATGTGCTGTGTGACAGAGTGTTTTATGTTGCCCTCTTGTAGACTGGTTGTGTGAAGTCTGGAAATTGGTCGAGATGAGATTTGTAAGCGGTTTGCCCAATTGCTGCTAGCTGGATGGATGAAGCCTAATTCTAGCATGTGGTCGAATTTAGATCAGTCAATGTTTCCTGTCGGTCGCCATAAAGAGACGTGGGCAGGCTTGTAGGTGGGCCTCCCGTCTCAATGTGCTGTGTGACAGAGTGTTTTATGTTGCCCTCTTGTAGACTGGTTGTGTGAAGTCTGGAAATCGGTCAAGAAGAGATTTGTTAGCGGTTTGCCCAATTGCTGCTAGCTGGTTGGATGATGCCTAATTCTAGCATGTGTTCGAATTCAGATCAATCAATGTTACCTGTCGCTCCCCATAAAGAGACGTGGACAGGCTAGTATAGGTGGCCTCCCGTCTCAATGTGCTGTGTGACAGAGTGTTTTATGTTGCCCTCTTGTAGACTGGTTGTGTGAAGTCTGGAAATTGGTCAAGATGAGATTTGTAAGCGGTTTGCCCAATTGCTGCTAGCTGGTTGGATGAAGCCTAATTCGAGCATGTAGTCGAATTCAGAACGGGCTATGTTGGGGACGGCCGGGCTGATGTAGGAGGGCCTATAATTATATAGCTCTGGTCTCGATGTATTGTGCGATAGAGTGTTTGCCTCCTCGCAGAGTTGTAAGTGGTCTCTAACTTAGAAAAGGACATCTCATTTAACCTCATACATGAAAGCCAGGAAATAATGAATAATTACAGATAAGGCGAAATATTTTAATGAAAAATTTATCCATGCATAGACACATATCAAGCACGTAGTATTGGATCAGGTGGAGCTGACTTTATGGAATATTATGCAACAGATTCTTCTTTGAATATTGAATATATTGTTCATGTACTTCTTAAAAGTTATACTCTGCCGGCCATGATAACTTGCAAATTTGTATTGAAGGATGTAATTACTATTGTCACCCCTCTTGTGCATATTTGCAATCTTTCTTTACCTATCTATGCTTGTTCCATCATTTAAACTTTGCCAAAGTTATACCAATATATAACAAGATAATTTGTCATTATAATGTCAAATTATCCATATCAACTTTCTCGAAGATTTTAGAAAGACCGGCCGGCCGTGTACAGAATTGATGTATGCATGGCTTAATTACAATAAATACAACAAAATTTGTTCAACGAAAATCAGTTTGGTTTCATATAATTCCATTCCATAGTTCTTTCTTTAGCACAGTACGTAGTACGACAGAGTTTCAAATGCCGTGCCTAATCGTAATCATGACTGTATTGGGAGTATTTATGGACCTTAATTAGCAATACATTTGTCACCCTTGACCACACATGTACAATACTTATACATAAACACACTTGGACTACCTCTCCAGTGGATTAATGATTATGTACAAAACAGAAAGCAATGTATATATCATGTAAATATGTTGAATCTAATGTTAACCAATTTCATGTGGTGTCTAGCTCGCAAGGATCTATTCTTGGTCCTTTGTTATTCTTAATTTATGTTAATGGTATTTCAAACACATCTGACTTTTTACAGTACATCCTATTTGCCGATGATACTAATGTATTTTTATTCTGATTCCAACTTTCATTCCCTCATTGATACCATATTACCAACCTAACCCTGACCCTAACCCTAACCCATTTTCATAATGTAAAATCTGGTGAATCTCCAATGGAAATTAAAGTGGATGGTGTGGTTATTGAAAAAACTGAAAGTACTAAAAAATTTGGACTCCTGAGTTTTTATCATTAAACTCTGCAATGTAATGATCATGTTAAATA